GATTTCGTGTTTTCTTGCAGCACCAAGGTCTTCTTCCTAGATCTCAGATGCCTCTGAGGGAGGCTGAACATCATGGAACTGAGAGGCCCAATGATGGTCTTATGCAGGGGGTTAATGTATGAGCAGCCAGCACTAGCAGGGGCTGGTTGAATGAACTCAGAACAGGCTCAAGGGAAGTCGAGAAGGGGTTTTATAAGCCTATGTGTGTGTGCGTGTATGTACTTAGGTTGGGGACTAAATTTGGGCTCAACAGTACTGCCCCATTTATGTGATGCTGATGTCACAAGATTGGATACTTGCCCCTTCTATGGGTAGTTTCCTCCTCTGCTGGGGGTGGAGATGGGGGAGCGTGTGTGTATGTGTGTATGCGTGGGAAGGCCAGGGAGTACTGTGTTGTGTGTGTGTATGGGATGGAAATAAGCGCCCTTGACTGAGAGATAGGAGCCTCCTGGTACCATCAAGAGGTCTTGAGCACTCATCAGCTTTCTGGAGCTCAGTTTCCTCATCTGTAAAACAGGTATTAAAAGCCTTCTCACAGGGCTGTTGTGAGAATGTGATGAGATGGTACGTAAACGTGCCTGGCTTCTAGAAGGTGTTGACCATCCTGTATGCAGGACTGACCAGCACAGTGGGCAGAGTGAGCCCACCCCCAGGTGCCAGGGTTAGTGGTTTCTCCCTCATGCTGGTCCATACACAGTCACTTCGTGGCTGAAGAAACTGAGGCCCACATAGGTTTTGCCACAGGGTCAAGGTCATATAGGTGGTTGGCAGCAAAGCCAAATTCTGGACACTCCTTATCCCAGTCCCAAGCCTCTGCTCTCTCTACTATACCCATTGCTTCCCTGGAATTCTCCCTGGAAATCAGTGAAAACCTTCCAAAGAAGTAGCTGAGAAAAGCCAAAGACAAACAGACTCGCCAAGTCACAGTCTGGCTGATTATCTCACCAACCACTTCCTTCTCTTCCACACAGTTACCTCCTCTAACTGCTATGAGGATTAAATTAGATAAGATGCTTGCTAAGCAGGACCTCATATAGGTTTGTTTCCCACCCCCTTCTCTTAAAAAAAAAAAATAATAAAGGTCTCCCAAACTAGCAAAAGTTCTTCCTGAGAGAGAGAATGGAAGTAGGCGATAAACTGCCTCATTTCACTCAGCGACTGTTTCCCAATTCTCTTCTGCTACTGCTGTCCTCCTCAGTGTTTACCCGAGTTCTGGCGTACGGTTGTAGAAAACAGATCCTTTGATGGTTTTGTCAAAGTATCTTGGGAGCCAGAGGAATGAGGGCCAAGTTAGTCATCCTTTGTGCAACTACAATCGGGAGGGGATGTTTATCTTGCCCAGCCAGACCCTGCACTAAAATACATAGTACAATGAGATGTCCTTGAAAAATGTGGATTGCGGGTTCTCTGTAACCAGGGTTGGGCAAGTCCGTTCCTTTATGAATCTATAAGTATTCATCAAATGCTGAATACTTGGGGCCCAAGTCACAGATGATCGTGGCCATGATGGGTGAAGAAGGGTGCAGTTATGGTGGCCTAGATTAAAGACTTGATGCCAGCACCATCAATAGAACTTTCTGGAAGGAAATGGTCTATTTCTGAACTCTCTGATATGGCAGCCACATATTTGAGCGTTTGAAATGTGGCTAGTATGACTGAGGATTCAAATTTGTGATTTTACTTTAAATAATTTAAATAGCCACATAAGGTTAGCAGCGACCACGTAGGTCGACGTAGCATTGTACAGACTGCAGCATCCCATGAGCAGCCGCTTTCACATAGGTCTCGTCTGGGCATAATTTCCAGCTGTACCCAGGGTAGCTCGATGGGACCGCAGGGATGTGACTCTCCACCAGTGAGTCAAATTAGGCTGAGCACATTAGGACTTTGCTCACTGGAAGGGCTCAGGTGGATCTGGGGAGAATTTGGAGGGCCCAGAGAAGAGGAGGGTGCAGTGCAGGCTGCAGCTCATCACTGGAATCTCTCTGGGGCTGGAGGTTTGGGTTCGGCCCAGTTTCAGGCAGTCTCGTCTCATAGTCCCACCTCCGTATCACTGGCCCCAGAGATCTTATCTTCATTGGATATCCCTGGAGCAAGAGGAGATGCTGGTGATAAAGAGACCCAAGTGTTGTTGTTAGGGGAACTACTGACCAAAACTGCCCACCCTGGCCAGACCCTAGAGTAACCATTTGCACGAGTTATCTTACAACATGAGGTCCTCGTAAGGAACGTGGAGCTAACAAGCCACCACCAACTGAAAGAATTTAGGAAAGGTCAAAAGGAGAGGGGAGACACCAGTCCATGTGTCCTACCAACCTCCCAGAATCCTTCTCGCTGGAATCCATCTTGGCTGAGCAATGCGTGCACCACCAGGAAAGACCCTGAGTCAGAATGATTGGCCAGAGACAACCCGGAAACTAACCCCATCCCCATACAAACCCAAGGCTGCGAGCCCCGTGGCAGAGCAGTTCTCCTGGGTTCCCTTACCCTGCTGCTCTCCGCCTGGGCGCCCCTTCCCAATAAAGTCTCTTGCTTTGTCAGCACGTATGTCTCCTCGGACAATTCATTTCCGAGGGTTAGGCAAGAGCCCACTCTCGGGCCCTGGAAGGGGTCCCCCTTCCTGCAACATTGTCTCCAAGGGACTCATCACCTGTCTTCCTGGGACAGCATTTAGCATTTAGCATGTGGGAGGGGGTTGGTCCCCCCTGAGCCCCCTGAGGGAGGGCCTCTGCCTACCCTGGCTCTATTTATGCTTGAAGAATAAATGATGGCCTGGCACAGTGGCTTTGGCAGCTGCTGGTGAGATAGTGATGCCCTAATGCGATTCCTTGATCCTCCTTCATGGGAAAGGGGTCCCTGTGAGTTCACACCAGCACCGTGTGGTGATTGGGCATCTGGGGTCCTGGGCAAAGGGAAGAACTCAGCCTGGCTTGTGCCTACTGCTCTTCCCTCTTCCTTCTCTTGACGCTCTCGCCTCCCTCCCCCATCTCCACGCCCCCCAGGAGATGACCTCGGGCAGGACCCAGTCCCTCACTTCAGATGCACAGCCCTGCCCTGGAAGGTGAAAAATGACGCTCTTTCTTTCCAGCTGACCGCAAGGAGAAAGCAAGATCCTCCCCCACCTCTCCTCCTTCCCTCACCCCCATAGACAGACCATGGGCAGGTTACCAAGGTAAAAATCACTAGACTAGTTGTTTGGAGGCCTGGGTCTAAATGCTGGCTCTGCCCCCAAGAATTCCTCTGTGTCCCTGGGCAAATGATTCTCCTGCATCTGGGCCTCTGTTTTCCCATCTGTGAAATGGTGGAGTTGAACAGTTTTTTGAAACGCTAACATTCCAGGATTAAAGTAGATCTGGTAAAATGTGATTATCTGAGAGGCTTAATCACTCCAGGCATCTTTGCCATTTAAAAGAGGAGCTGGTTAACCCAAATGAGTGTCTAATTGGCAGCCTGCGGCGGGGGAGCTCCCTGAAGCAGGAGGCCTTCGAAATCCCCTCACCTGCTCTGGGTGCCATGGGTTCTGCCGCCACCCCTCAAGGACAGACAGCTGAGGGGACCCTCTGCCCCTCAGGGAAGAAAGATCCTGCCCTCACTCCAAGTGCTCTCAGAAGCTATCAGACGCTCCACCTGATTTCTGTCATTCCTGGGACTCAGGGAAGGGAAATCTGGCTGGAGAGCAAAAGTTCAGATAAACAGAAGAATCCTGTGCCTAAAACACAAGTCGCCTGGGAGCTTGAACTTGGGAGTGTGGTAATGAACGGAACACCTGGGAGTGTTCAGCCTGGGAGTCAGAGGGACCTGGGTTCCAGGCCTCCTTCCAGGCTAACCCTGCCAATCTCGCTTGGCTGTTGTGGGCACCATGAGGAGTCGATGGATACGTGTAATGTTTTTGTGTAAAACGCGGTGCAAAGGCAAAGTGCTACTGACAGCGTGTTCACCTTCTGCATACAAACATCTGCACGGTAACAAGCAAACAGCACCAGGCTCCTCCCAGTGACGTGAGCATGCGCTGTGAACAGTGAGATGCTAAATCATTCCAGAGCTGTTTTAAGGATTAGGCAGAAATGTTAAAGGCAACAGATGTTGGCTTGTTCCCTCCAGGAGGATTTAGGCTTTAGTGGAGTATTTCTCTGCTGGCTTCAGCCCAAATCATGGCCACAGCCCTTTCTCTGACCTCCTGTTCAACCCAGCAAGAAGAAGGGGCTCAATTTCTCCCCTGAGGTTGAGAAGCGGAACTTCTAGGGAGGGCCTCAATAGGCCAATGATCTCTTGTAAGACGAGCTGACTCGAACGTCAGGGGAAATGAGGAAGCATACATGTAGTGTGGAGCCCAGGTTTTTCCTGGAAGCCATAAGCAGAGATGAAAGCACTGGGTTCCAGTCTGAGTTTGGAGAAGTCTCCAGGGCCCTGTACAATGAGACCTGGGTGGTCAAGGTAATTGCTCAAGGCCTTCTGGATCTAATATTCTAGGGGACCGTGATATTGGATGAAGTACAGCCAACCCAAGGATTTTGTTCCAGAAAGTATCAAGCTTTCTCCTCCAGCACTTGGCAGTGAGGAAGCCACATTCTTGGGTAAAGAGAGAGGCTGTGTCATCATCACGGTCTGGAATCTGTGCAGGGTCAAAACCACTAAAATAACAGAGCCTGAAGTAGTTCCAGCAAAACACTTCAGGGAACTTCTGAACCTTCAGACAAGTGGCTTCATCCTGCCCTTCTGAAGGCTCTCCTGCACTCACCATTTTTTTTTTAAAATTTTTTTAAACATCTTTATTGGGGTACAATTGCTTTACAATGGTGTGTTAGTTTCTGCTTTACAACAAAGTGAATCAGTTATACATATACATATGTTCCCATATGTCTTCCCTCTTGCGTCTCCCTCCCTCCCACCCTCCCTATCCCACCCCTCCAGGCGGTCACAAAGCAACGAGCCGATATCCCTGTGCCATGCGGCTGCTTCCCACTAGCTATCTACCTGACGTTTGTTAGTGATGCACTCACCTTTGAACGGGGATTGGGCTCGAGTCACCAGGAAGAGGCTCTTGCTCTTCTTGCTTTGCGGCTCCTGGCGGGCATAGTAGCCCAGCGTGTTGCAGCGGCCCTTTTTGCAGCTCAGGCACAGGCCCTGGCTGAAGCTGTCCATGTCCCTGCACGGGTAGGCCGTGCTCTGCATGTCAGCGTGCAGCAAGGAGTCGATGAAGAGGTGCACCGACCGCTCGTGGGCACATTTGATGGTCTGGGTGATGGCTGGAAAACAGGGCAAGAAGCACATTATCATCCCTTTGTCTGAAGGATCACCTTGTTTCTCAGTGCGGAGTACCGGCACATTAGGAAGGAGGAGGAAAGTGCTCAGGTCAACCTGCTGACTACAGTGGATGTGATAACTGACGGAACACTACACAAGGGGTAGACCCCCTGCAGTCACTTAGTGTGGAGGCATAATCTCAGGCTCCAGGGGGCTGCTGAGGGTACCCTGTATGTTACGGTAGGTGTTTTAATAGGAGCCCCAAGTCACTAAGAAAATCTTGAATTATTTAAGCAAGTGGGGTAGCGTAATTCATTTTGGAAATATTTTAATCTCAAATGGTTAAAAATGCACAACTGCTGATGCTTTAAGGGTGAGTTAGCAGAACAGGCTTGTGCGGAATGCCTCTTAATAAAGCTGGGTAAACCAGTGCCCAGGCAATCTTGGGACTTGGCTCATGGTCTGGTGAGAGCTGAGGCCTCCCCCACCATGTCTGCCTTCTGTCTCAAAGCAGCCACTGCATGCCCTAAGATAACTGGCCTGTACAACCAACATGGGGATTGGCTTCAAGAAGGACATATCCCAGTGACCAGGTCTGAACGGGCCTAACCCAAAACAAGTTTAGGAGGTTTATATATCAAGGATTTTGACCTTTTTTTTGGGGGGGGGGTTGTTTTTGGGTCTCCAAATCTTAACAATCTTTAGTAAAGTTTTCTCTAGGAATGTTGAGGAACCACCACGAGATGTGCTAAGAACCTCGTGTGAAGGTGGAGCACAGGTAACTTTGCCAAAAGCTGTTTGCCCAGGATTAGTCATCTCAGTTCTTGGTCACTAGGGGCTATATTTGTTGAGCACCCACTATTCGGCAGGTACTACACTGAGTGCCTCCCCAGATCTTCAGTACAGCTCCTTGAGGCAGCTGTTACGAGTGAGAAAACTGAGTTTCAAAGACATTCACTCACTCACTCAAGCTCACCTAGCCAGGAGGTGGTGAGGATGGTAAAGCAGTTACCAACTGACCAAGTTAACATGTTCACCCCAGAATGGGATCACTTGCAAACAAAAGGGTGAAGAAAACTGAGAAAAACCATACCAAGGGTGGGCGAGGTAAATGAATATCCTTGGTTCCATCATTCTGAAGTGTAGCACAAAAGAGAAAATGGCAGTAATTGGTCAGAGATGCATTTACCAGGCAGCTAGCTAATAAACACCATCCTAGGGGTCTGTGTGGAGCTTAGGGAGGGTGTAAATCTGGGAAGAGGGCTGGATGGTCACCAGGAACTGCTGGTGACTAGAGGGCGATGACTGGAGAGAGATGGTGTAAGGAATGATAAGGGGAAGTTCCGAGAAGGTTCTGTCAGGTGTGGGCGGGTGGAAAGCTGGGAGTCCAGCCAAAATGAGATAGCATCCAGTGTGAAGGTCATTCTGATACAGGAGGCGTGAAGGTGGTGATGTAATCACGAGACAGTGTGCGCTCAGCTCAGCTTCAGATGATTGGGGCAAGATGGCGGTATGTGGGGGTCGGGGGGCCTCCCGTTGGCTTAGAGTGAGTTGGCATGTCTTAATCAGGATATTATTTTACAATAATGAGAACCTTGGAATGCCTAGGAAACGTATGGTTTTTGCTCACATCTTTGTTCTTTAATCCGGGGCCTGTTACCCATGCGCGTGTTAATGTTTTGGTTTTAGGGTTTGAGAGAGAAGGGGGATCGCAACCCAGATAATGCCATATTCAGTTTCTGCCCTGAGGCAAAGGAAGTCACAAGGACCTATTTAGAGCTGAACATCTAATTGGAAGAATCTCCATAATGAATGTCCTGTAGGGTCAGCTGATTAAACCTCACGGGGGTTGGAAGAGTTATTCTCACTCTTGTGAGACCAAGGATGAAGAAACCATGATCTATTAAGTGGATCATCATAGGGCCCAGAATGGAGGAAGCCCCCTGAGTGAGGAAGCTTCCGGAGAAAGAGGAAGAACCACAGGCAACAGGGCTCAACTTTCAGAAAGGCTAATACCCCGGGAGAGACTTCGCCGGGTACACTGAGTGGAGGTAAGAAGCGGGGACTCCCAGTGGTGCCCCTCAGCTCATCCTCAGCACCTGAGCTCCAGGGACCACTGCCTGTTAAGAGGAAGGGCTTGGGGGGAGCGGCAGCCCTTACCTACTCCCACAAGCCCTCTCTCTGGGTGGACTTGGTGACCATTCACCCTGGGCCCCACCCTTGCCAAACTCTTCTCAGAATCTTGCAGATTAGACACCACTGGATCCAGAGGCCCCATCAGTTGTGGGGAATGTAAACCAGCGTAGGCTAGTGTCTTCTTTCTCACCATTTAAGCCGTGCTTGGCAATATGTTTGTAGAGCTCTAGGAAGTGGCATCCAGGCTGGTAGGAGCCCCCATTGGGGTAGAAGTCATAGTGGGCTATGGGCTGTTTGATGCCCACACTCAGGCCCATGTGTTCCTGGGTAAAGGTGTGAATGGCGTCCACGAAATTGGCATCATCTGGTGAAAGCCGGTCACTGGGGGAAGCTCTTTTAAACAAAAGGCCCGCAGCATCCAGCCCTAACAGGAAAGCAAGGGGAAGGGTTAGGTGAGAGCAACAGGAGAGGAGAAGAAATGCTCTTTTTACCTTTTTCATGTTATTACACATTCATGAGCTAGCAGGAAGAAGAAAATCCTAGGGCATAATCTTTCTCTCGAAAATCTTGCCATAACTTTTTCGCAGTAAAACTGTAGTAATTCATGACACTAAAAATCGGACACGGGCTGGTTATTATTTATGGGGAGAAGAGGTTTGCGGGAACTATCCAGTGGTAGAAATAAGGTTATAAGGGAATGCTTGATTTATTTAAGCCCATCAATTTTAAGTACCTCTCAAGCTACTTTCAAGAGCATCTGTTTGCATATAAAAAAACCCACTGTGCTTATTGTAAGTAGTTCTAACCTATCCATCAAAGGAAGAATTTATTTGCCTGCATGTTGTCAATAATTTCCCTAAACAAGCTGGCTTTTCCCCTACACTAATGTCATTTCATTGGAATGTTCAGAACCGCCTTGGGACATTACAGTTCTCTGGGAAAAATGTTGTGAGCAAATAGGACTGCTCACAGCTCTGGTCCTTAAGTGACAGATATGTTTGCATGAGACAAGTGGAAGCTCCTGGCTGATGGTAGCTGGGAAGTATTTATGCACTCAAGGTTTTTTTCTCTTTCTTCCTTTACCTTCTCTGGAGGACCCTTTGTTGTCCCGTATCAGTCCTGGCTTCCATCACTGTTGGGGGTGAAGGAATTGACAGGGCACCATGACAGTCCCTGCTCTCTAGCCCTGACCTGTAGTTACAAATAAAGGAAGTGATTTATATTCCTTTCTTCGTCAGGCTGACTATGAGATGACAACAGAGTAACTAGCGGTCCTGTTGCTTCTGATATGTGTGGGCCTGGCTAATAATGCCTGATGTGGCCCGTGACACCAGCCGGCGTGGAGAGGGTCCTGGGCCCAGTGCCGCCTCTCTGCAGTTCTGACTTAGCCTTCTAGGCCTGGTTTGTCTGTGAAGGACCTCACTGGACTTCTGTGGAATGTTCTTGTGTGGGAGGTCTGCTCACCCCCAGGCTATTGAGTGTTAGATCATGGAGGGCGCCAAATACTGATCCATGGATCAGGCCTCCCCGTCACCAGCAAGATGAAAAAAAAAACAAAAAAAACAGAAAATGAGTTCTCATCATGACAAATTTGCTTCGTTTAAATGTCTGCCATTATCCCTATCTTTTTTCAGTGTTAAAATAAATCTCTTCTTTTATGAAGGAATGGTAATAGTAGATAGGAGTTGCCAAAAATGTTCTTTCTTGATGAAATAAAAGATCACAGCAATGTTATTCATCTTACATTTTGTTTGAATTGTTCTCGCTTGTGAATTATTGTTTTAGCCTGATGGGTCTTGAAGGATGAGGAGGAGTTTGGTAGGGAGACTAGGGCTTGGTTTTCCAGGCAAAGAGAAAAGTGACTGCAAAGGCCCAGAAGCACAAAAGGCCATGGCACGTATGTAGAGTGGAGAAAAATCTAGTGTCACAGAAGCCTAGAACTATAAGAAGGGAACAGTGGGAGGAGAAGCTGGAGAGCTCTGGGGACACTACACTGAGAAGGGCCTTGTCTGGGCCTCCTGACTTTTACCCGGTAGGAATCAGTGGGCCTCAGGGACTTGGCTGATGAGGCGTGCTCTCCTGACTGTGACTCTGGGGCAGCAGGGGCGGGATGAGGTTTGTGTCAGGGCAGCCTGGTAGGAAAGGCCTTCTTGTGTGTCTTCAGCTCTTCCTGGGTATCTAGGGGCATTTCCAAGGTGGCATAGAGCTTGGGGTGAGGTTTTTGGTGCAAAGATCCCTCCCTCAATCCAAATGGGCCCCAGAGTAGGACCCACGTGTTTCACAAAAGTGAACACTGAGGTACAAACATGGCTGTTACAGCAAATTTAGGGCTGTCATTCTTTAACTCACGTTAGGCTTTTAAAACTATAGGTTGAAAATAAACTATTTTTTGCTACAAAAGTGTACACAAAATCTACTTTTTAGGACCTATTTGGCAGGACTGTGAGAGACCTTTGTTTGAGGAAAGGCAATAGGAAGTGAGGCTGTGATTTGCTCTAAATTCTCTTGGAACGGCAGTCTATGACAGCGGTCATGTTTGAAATAAATAGTGCTATAAGTCCTCCTGTGAACTCTAATACAGCCTGAAGGAAGCTGGGGGTGGGTTAATTTATGAGACCGTTGGAAAAGCAGGTCCTTGCTCCACGCCCCCGTGCAGTTGTGAAGATTATAGCTGTTAGTTATTAGGTGTGGTTACCTGTAATTCTCCCAATCTTGTGCTTTCTGCTCATGTAACTGCCGGCGAATCCTGAGACGTGTGCACCCAGGCTGTACCCAATTAGATGAACATTGCTTGGAGAAAAGTGAGCAGATTCCTGGAAGACAGCGGCGAGACGGTTTCAGGAGGGGAGAGAGCTGCCTGGATAAAAGCCTCTGTGGGTGCAGCCTGTTCTAGGCTCTCTCTGTTCTTTGTGCCTGGTCACAGGTAAGGTGCTTACCTCCTACTCAGGACTCCAACTGGTTTCTCACCTTGCTGACTCTGTCCTGTTTCCTTTCAGGCTCAGCTACCTGGGACCCTGCCTGGGGATGCTGCCTCCTGTCTGCCCATCCTTACCTGGATGTTAATGCCTTGCAGGAGTGATCTCATTCATGTGTGTGGGAGTTTGAGAGCTTACAGGGTGTGTTTAGGTCCCTTAGCACATCCAAAGAGGTGAGCATAAAAGGAACAGTGGATGGAGTAGTGGGGGCAGATGATTCTATAAAACAGGGCTTTAAGGGAGGCATTTGAGAGACCGCTGGGGGTCTGGTCTCTGTCCCATGCCTTCCCATTCCTGTGAGCTTAGCAGAAGTAGTTCTCCCGTCTGCGTTGCTCTAGGAGACCAGCTTAATTCACTCAGTCTTAGAGGAAGGGAGAGGACGGGAGAGAAGGGAGGTCAGGGCAGGTCTCACCTCCAGCCACTGGAGAAGGGCCGCGATCTCCTGGCCGACGAGGCGGGTGTTGCGGACAGCGATGGAGTAGTGGGTGTGGGCCAGGGTGACCCATTCTGCCAGCCCCACGTTGACTGGTCGGGCCACCTGAGACTTCAGCGCGGCCACCATCTGCCAGATCCAGTTTTCCAGCGAGGCTTCCATCTGAGGGCGGAACCACAGGGTCATCAGCTTCCCCGGGAGGGAGGCGGGAGTGCTGTGCTAGCTCCCTCTCTCTACCTGCTCACCTCTTTCCTTCTCCAACTCTGGGCTCGTGCTGGCTCCTTCTCTCCAAGAGAAAGGGCTTAAGCTGGGGCTTCTCAACTTCAGCACCATTGACATTTGGGGCCAGATATTTCTTTGCTGTGGGAGCTGTCCTGTGCACGGTAGGATGTTTAGCCGCATCCTTGCCTCCATCCAAGAGAGGCCAGCAGCACCCCTCTGCTCCCCCTCCCCAAGCTGTGAAGACCAAAAATGTCTCTGGACTTTCCAAATGTCCTGCGGGGGGCTACCCACAGCCCTCCCTGTGCTGCCGCACTTCTGGGTCACACCCACTGTGTTCTGCTTGCCTTAGAGGGGGTAGGACTGTGAGCTGGAGCATAGTAGGAACTCAGTAACAATTGGGTTGATTCATTATGGAGAACTGTTCTGTGTATGTTCCTTGTTTGAGAGCCAATTTGCAGGGCACTCCTGAAGGGTTCACAGAGCAAATACATTTGTGCTGTGTCTGGAAGGATAAATAGGAGTTCTCACGGAAGAATCCAGGTGGGCCGGTGAGTGTGGCGGCGGTGGGTGAGGGTATCTAGGGCACTCCAGGCAGAGGAAGAGCATGTGCAGAGGTGCAGAACCACAGAAGGGCAGTGCGGCCTGTCTGGGGAGAGCAGGAAAGTCGGGTGTAATTGAAGACGAGAACACAGAGGTGAAGCTGGACAGCAGTACTGATGGTTTGGCTTGTGAGTCTGGGGTAAGATGCATTCATTTAATAAATGTCTTTCTACCCAGTACCTTCTATGTGGATGTAACACCTTGGGTTCAAATCCAGACTCTCCTAGTTACTAGCTGAGTGGCCTTGGGCAAATTATTTAACTTTTCAGTGCCCCAGTTTCCTTGTCTGGAAAATGGGGATAATAATAGTGTCCTCCTTCCAGGATTGCTGTGAAGATGAGATAAGTTAATAGATGTAAAGCATTTAGCACCTGGAACATAGTGAGGACTCAGTAAATGTTAGTTATTACAGCTGCTGCTGTTGTCATTATTATTATTATTACCAGCAATAGTAGATATATTCCAGTCTGCGCAAGATTTTGAAAACAAAGAACTCATTCTAGTAAAAGGATCCTGGTAAGAGGACCCTGCTATCTTCATGTCTGTAAACAAGATATGAAGTCAGCCATTACTTCAGCTAACAAATATTTTTGGAGCACCTAATATATAATGGATCCTGTGTGGCGGGAGATGAGGGAAGGGATACTCTAGGCAGAAGTCACAGCCTGAGCCAGGAGGAGAGAAGTCATTTGGAAGGAGCTACAAGCAGAGGTAAGGGGGAGGCAGGGAGAGTGGCAGTGGAGGCAGGGAGAGCCGGCCCTGCTGTTTGTAAGGCTCTCAGCTCAAGTCCCTACCTCAAGTCAGGTATCAAGTCCACAGCTCTCTCCTCCCCAAAGCCCTGCTCTGGATGCATTCCCTCCTTCCCAATTTCTTTTCTCTTTTTCTCTTGTAAGGGAAGGTCCCTTTGGCTAAAGTAGCTGAAGAGATGGAATGTTCTTCCCTTACAATGACCTCCTAATAATCTATCCTTACCCCCTCCGCTCCCATAGGAAAGCTTCCCATGTCTGATCTTTCTTTTTGGCCATGCCGTTCAGCTTGTGGGATGTTAGTTCCCTGACCAGGGCTTGAACCTGGGCTACCACAGTGAAAGTGCCAAATCCTAACCACTGGACCGCCAGAGAACTCCCTCCATGTCTGATCTTTAGTTTCCTTTAAGATAGGTTTCATCTCAGGGTTCTACCCTCCGTCTCCAATTCCATGCTTTTTTTTTTTTTTTTTTTAAAGAAACAGGGATGGAGCTCCTAGCTTAGCTAGAGAGAGCTGCAGTGAGGAGATTGCAGTGTGAGGCCTGCTGTGTGATGGGGACCCTGCCAAACCCATCCTTGACAAAGGCTTGATGTAATGGAGTCTTTGACAGTGTGGGCTTTGGAGCATGAGGGTTCTAGTTTTGGAGTTCTGTCTACTGAGGGCTGTGTGACTGTGGTAACTGCTTGACCTCTCTGAGCTGCAGTTTCCTCATCTGAGAGATGAGACTAACTCAAGTGGCCATGTAGGGAGGCAGGAGGATTAAATGAGCTGATGTCTAATGTAAATGGCTTAGCTCCTATAGGGCCTCATCTGTGTTAGGTCTCTTCTCTAGGGGCAGGAAAGCCCCTACCACCTTCACTGCCAACCCTGTGCTGTGGTGGAACACCCCCCGCCCTTCCCTAGGGTGGGGCTCCTTTAAATCCTAGGAGGAAGCTGCTGGCAGGCTACAAGAGCCTCTGTGCTTTTCTGGGATGGCAAGCCCACCTTGTGGCTACACCCACATGGCGTCATGTGGTTCCCATTACCCCATGAGGCCTGGCATGGGGTCTGTTTTGTTCATGTGGAGGGTATGAGTGAATACATGTTGAAAGAGTGGTGGTGGGCCGATGGGCTCATTTTGCTCTCTAAGCTAGGATAGACGGGGGTTGCAGAGTATTTTTCAATTAGATGGTAGGGAAAGGGTTTCAAGTCATGAAATAGACCCCAGATCTCTGGAGGTTTCACAGTGTGAACCAAGCTTCAAATCGTGGGTGGCCTAGAAACCAGTAAGGCAGAATTTCTTCTTGGAAACTTTTGTTTGACTTCAATCACTGCCCACAATATTCTTTTCCCCCTTCTTCCACAGTAATAGCATTTTAGCATCACTAAAAAGCTACACTTTCTCTAAGAGGCTACATATATTAACCACCTTTCCCTCTAGGTATGGGCAAATGGATGTAACTGAAAGCATTTCACAGATGCTTCTGGGAAGCTAACCTAAGAAAACACATTTATACACCAAAAGGCATTGAATTGTACACTTTAAATGGATGAATTTTATGGTATAATGCGAATTATACCTCAATATAGTTGTTTTTTAAAAACCCTGCTTTTTTGTGTTTACATTTTACTACCTTGTGCTACCTGGGATGCAGATGTGATAGCTAGTGCTCTAGCTGCCATCTTGGACCATACTCTAAGGATAGCAGAATAGTGAGTAGGGAATGAGCTGGGTCCTTGAGGACTTCAGTGACCAAAGCTGTTTATTCAGTTTTAGATTACATATACTGGACTCTTGTATGAAATGGAAAAAAACTTCTGTTTTATTTAGACTACTGCCAATTTGGATTTCTGTTATTTGCAGCTGAATTTAACCCTTAGAAATATAATATTTTATTGGGAGACTATGTCTTCTGGCTTCCTACCTCCTCCTGGGAAACATGCAGATTCACCTTCATGAACTGCAATCTCTTATGGGCCCTTATGTGCTGTGTGACCTTTTTGAGCCACATTTTATTATCTGAAATGTGGAGATAATTATACTTTCTCTGCCCTGCTTACTCATGAAATTGAGATAATCAATAAGATAATGTGTGGGGAAGCACTTGGAAAATTAGAATGTACTTTAAAAGTATTATGCATGAGGTCGTTATCACCAGCTCCCTATCTTTTTATTACAATTGAACACACTAGGGAGGGAAACAAGAGAAAATGTAAAAGTAGAGAGAAAAAAGGCATGTCAGCATTTCCTACCAACCACCCGTGGACTATCATCACCAGAGGCAGAGAGGAGTTGAAGCCGCACTGCTGCAACGTGTCTGAGTGATTGAGCCGAATCTGACAGCCCTTATTGGTTTCTTCTTTAAAGAGCAGAAATCTGGTTCTTGTCTCCTGTGATGTTTCCTTTGTTTCAGCAGCTCGAGATCTCCTTCCAAATGACTCTGGAAGATAAAATTGGAGACAGTGTTTAACCTGGCACCTGTTCCACCTCTGCCAGCTCTGGGACAACCTAAAAGTTTCTAAGAGCACTAGGCAGCGGGGTTACTGCAAGGTGCTGGAGGTAGGCATGGGCTGTGGCTTTGGGGAAGCCCAAAGAGCATTTTATTTCCAGCAGAATGGGAGATGATGGAGGGTGACCTAGGAGGACCCCACACAGAGGTGGAGAGGACCAGATCCTCCATCCTGCCATCCCGGTGACTGCAGGATCAGCCAGTCAGACACTGGAGTAACTCCAGGACACTGGGAATATGGGAGAGGCGATTGGGACTGAGGTTCAGAGAGGATAAGTATTTTGCCCAAAATCATTATGCCAATAAGTGGTAGGATTTGGACCCTGTCTCTCTGACTCCAATTCCCTACATCCCTATGCTAGGGAGACAGCACATAGAGCATCTTAGTTTGATGACACTACGCATTCTCTCCCGTGGCTTAACCTGTTCTCACACGTAGTCTTGCACTGACCAAGTAGGACTGGGGCGGGGAGGGTCACAGAGGGAGTGGTGGATTCTGCTTGATGGGGAGTGGCATTCAGGGAGGACTTTTCAGGGAAAGTGATGCTCATGCTGGCCCTGAGGGATGAATGAGGGCTTGTGTGTATGTGTGAGTGGGCGGAAGGAGTAGGGCTTTCCAAGCTGAGGGAACAGCTGAGTAAGGGCTCAGAGGCATGGGACCTTGTGGGTGGGAGGAAGCCGAAGGCTGGGAAGCCAGAGTGTGTGTGCGGGGGTCCCTGGATGCTGAGGAGTCTGGACTTTATGCTCTAGATGATAAGATGCCGCTAAAGAGTTTTCAGCAGAAAAGGATAAATGAATATCCACCTGGAATCTTTCATAGACTGTGTGAGGGTGGGGTAGGGAGAAAAAGATTGCTTTTATGATTACACCTTCTGTTGTTTTCCTGAAAGGCTATCTAGCTTCTCTTTGTGGGGAGCCTCACCCTGACTCTGAGACACTTTGTGGAGGATGGGCAGTCACCCAACTCTCTGAGGCAGCACAATGGCTGTCAAGACCATGATGTCAGTCAGAGATAAAGCTGGGTGGAGCCTGAGGGAGGTGCTATGTTCCCCAGGTGTGGCATCCCAAGATGGGTGACATCTTTTCTGCTAAGATTAGGAATCAGACCAAGAGCTGGGGGAGGATGCTCTCACAGTCCCTTCCAGCCGAGGGTGGGCTCCCCTGCGGCTGAGGGGCAGACACAAGGCCATACCAGCATTTGTGATCAGTGAACTCAATTCAGCCCAGTTACTAAGAGCCCTGATCATTCTTTCTGAGCATAAAGTCATTCAGGCTTCTCAGGCAATAAGTCTTGGGCTTTGGGTTTCAGGGGACAGCAGGACAGAGAGATGATGAAACTACAAAGTGCAAGGGGAGGTATTAATGAAACCAATTTTCCTATCCAAAGGTTATTAATTTGAAAGGTTATTAATTCCCAGCAGAGGGCAATGATTTTTCACTATGATGACAGAATGAAATGCATCGTATTTTATTAAAAGGAGATGAGAATGAGAATCTGAGTAACTTCTCTGAGATAAAGAAGAAAATTTCTGTCGCCCAGTTTGACTTTCCCAAGCTTAGAGACTATCTGAGCTTGTCCTCATTCCTGAAAGCATAATCCCAGATTGTGCTCCCCAGCTCATTGCATGCACTGCCCCACTGGTCTCTAAGTCAGAAACCTGGGTGTCATCATATACTGTTTTAGCAGCCATCCAATCAGTCCAAAGCTTCAGGTTTCCAAATATCCCTAGAATCCAGTGCCCTAGCTCAGGTGCACACTGTTTCTTGCTTGGTTTATTGCCACAGCTTCCTAACTGGTCTCTCTCTGTTTAATCTCACCACCCTCACTCACACTGCTGCTCAAAGAATCTTTCTAGAACAGAAATGACTATTATACCCGTTAGTATCTTTAAGCTTCTTGGTATTGCAGCCAAGTCCATCACCTGAATGATGATCCCTCATCCCTCAAATCATCCCCTCTCTACGCTCTCCTGCTACCCCAGACTGCCACTAGTTCCCCCCATTGCCATTTCACATCCCTGCATCTTTGCACTCTCGCTTCCCTCTCTGCTACTCCCCTCTGGTCCATTTGTTAAAATGGAACTCAGACATCACCCCCTCCAGGAAGCTGTCTCTTCTAGCCAGAGGTAATTACTTCCTCTTGCTGCCAGCACCGTATTGGTCCCCTGATCCTAAGATAATTTATTTGTTTGGATGCGTGGTGTGTCCTCCACCAGGCTGTGAACTCACGGAGGACAGAGCTGAGGATGCTTAGTAAGTGATCAGTGCGCGAGGTGGTATTCTGTGGGGCCCAGGTCTCAGATCAAAGGCTGTCATTCAGTTTGTCAGCCCTATATGAATTGGAGCTCAAGGTAACTAATTTTCTTTTATTCAGTGACTGAATAGCTATATCTTCCTTCATTTCAGGATAGCTGGCTTGAATGCTAAAAACTCTACATGAAAATAAAATGGGGATAGATATAATACCCATCTTGTGAAGTCATTACAAGGATTAAATAAGATGATATTTTTAAAGAGCACGGAACAATGCCTGGCATATTATTAGACCCACATAAATGTGTGTTGTTAAAATAAGTACAGATTGGAGCATCCAGCATCTTGCATTTTTGATCTGTGAAATTCTTTCTTTCTGTGAAAATTTATCCCAGTTACCCTGGATTTAGCTGGGAGAATCTGCTCTGGCCCCAGTACCCGGGGCATCAGATCTGTTCAGGAGAGTCCTAGGGAAAAAAGAGTTGTCAGATGGAAAGGCTCACAAACACCTGGACGGACCTGAGCTCTCCCTTTTCTTCCTAGGAGCTTGGCTTTCTTTTAGCATGTGTGTGAGTGAGGAGGTTGTGTATATATTAATTCATTCATTTACTTCAACAAATACTTATTAAGCATATTATATTATGCCCTGAGCCCTGAATAGGTACCAGTTGGAGGCAAATAGGGCCTGACATCTGTGTATCAGGAGTCCCCAGTCCAGTGGGAAAGAAAGCATGAAAATCAGCCATCACATGAGGTTGCTGTGAATACTGCTGTGGAGTGACGTCCTGAGTAGGGGCTTTAGGGAAGATGCCAAGAGAAGATAAGGCATCAGTTGAGTCTGGAAGGATGAAAGATTCTTTAAGTGCTCACATCTAGGAGAAATTTTTGAAGAAAGTGGGGCTCTGGTGCCTAAAAATATAAGATTTAGTGGAGGACCTGAGCACTGAAGGGCTGCTGTGGGGAAGAGGGCCTAGGATTCTTTTGCGCAACTCCAGGAGATAGAAACAGAGTCAAAAGGTGGGTGTGGGGGCTTCCCTGGTGGCGCAGTGGTTGGGGGTCCGCCTGCCGATGCAGGGGACGTGGGTTCGTGCCCCGGTCTGGGAGGATCCCACAAGCCGCAGAGCGGCTGGGCCCGTGAGCCATGGCCACCGAGCCTGCGCGTCCGGAGCCTGTGCTCTGCAGCGGGAGAGGCCCGCGTACGCCCCCCGACCAAAAAAAAAAAAAAAAAAAGTGGGCATGACATGGAAGGAAAATTTTGACTTTAAGTGTTCTTGAAAATTCACAGTTGAAGAAATTGGGACAAAGAGAAAATAAAGGTGGCAAAACAACAAAGACAGAAATGTTAATAGATTAGCAACCTAAACTGCACACTCTGTGATCATATAAGGTTGCAGAAGATGGGCCACAGATTTTGTTTTGAGCTTCCTATTGGCCAAATCAAAGAGGGAAACAGGAGCAGTTATAGAATTCATGCTGTCCAGCTGCTCATACTTTTCTGGTCCTGAGGCCTGAGATGGTTTTCCTGTGGGTTATTGTAAAAAGGGGCCATTGCATGAGGCAGGGGCCATTGTCTTGAATACTATTCCTATGAAATATACAGTAGCAGGTTTTATGTGGTTGACTCTGAGAGTGCAATGCAGTCCTCAATGGAAGCAGCACCCATAGCACCAAACAGCGTTTAAGTCACAGTGAGTCTCTGTAAGGCTCTTCGTTGTAATCCAGCAGCAGTCCTATGACTGAAGGAGGCAAGGGCTACTTCAGGTCACATTTTGGGTGGAAGGAGTAGTCCCCAGGTGTCTGAGCCTCCATGGGAGCAGAGTTTGATTGACCCCTTCACAGAACACACAGAATACTGGAGCATCCTCAGGTAAGCCACAGCTTCAAGGATGCACTACTGTGACTCACACCCGAAAGTATACCAAAATCTCTTTCCTAGGCTTCAGCCCTGCCCGTAACAGGCTCTTGACAGGGCTTCTCTACCTGGGGATGCTTTTGACACTGCAAACCCAGTGAGGCCAAAGTGAATTTATTTTCTTTCCTCCCAACCTTCTTCTTCCTTTCTTTCTACATTTCCTATTGTGGTTTGTGACACTATCATTTGTCCATGCTGTTGCTCAAGCTAGAAAGCTTAAGAGCTGTCCTGGAATACAGTCTCTGTCTCCTTGGTAACCCACTAAGGTCACCAAATTCTGAGGACACAGTCTCAGGGTTATCTTCTCTGCCCCCTGCCACTGACTTAGTCTGGGAACTTACAGTTGTTTTTGTATTAGTTGTGATATGGTAATAGACTCTTAACTTTTTTATTTTGTCTATATGTAGAATTACTACATGTTCATTGTAGATATACAATCTGAAAAATGCTGAAATGAATAAAGAATCTCAGTACTCAGAAAAACACACAAGTAATATTTGGAGTATTTCCTTCCAATCTATTCTTATGGAGATATTTGTTTCATAGGTGTTTGTTTGGGGTGTCTATAATTGAGATCATATTATGTGAATGGCTTTATATCCCTCTTTACCTGTCGTGATAATTTTCTTACAGCATTAGAAATTCTTTAAAAACATGCTTTTGAAAAGTGGAATAGGGCTTCCCTGGTGCTGAAAAGGTTGAGAATCCGCCTGCCAATGCAGGGGACACGGGTTCGAGCCCTGGTCCAGGAAGATCCCACATTGCCGCGGAGCAACTAAGCCCGTGTGCCACAACTACTGAGCCTGCGTGCCACAACTACTGAAGCCCGTGTGCCTAGAGCCGGTGCTCTGCAACAAGAGAAGCCACTGCAATGAGTAGCCCATGCACCGCAATGAAGAGTAGCCCCCGCTCACCACAACTAGAGAAAAGCCCACAGCAACGAAGACCCAATGCAGCCAAAAATAAGTAAGTAAATAAATAAATGTATTTAAAAAAAAAGAGAAAAGTGACATAGTTTGTTTCATTATTGTTGGACATTTAGGTTGTTTCCTGTTTTCTTTTTTTTCCTATTACTAGCAATGCTCTGATGACCATCTTTATAAATAAATCTTTGTCTGAATCTATGAGTGTTTTTTAGTAAAGATTCCCCAAAGTAGAATCATTCGCTTCTTAGGGGTGATCTTATTTATATCTCTTTATATATGCATATATATCCGAATTGATATTCAGCACTTTTAAAGCTAATATTTATTGAGTGCTTTCTCACTAGAAAAGTGCTAGGCACTTTTCTAGCAGTCTTATTTGTATGAACTTATTTAAACCTCACAACTCGTGAGTAAGCGGTTAGTAAATCCAGTGATTGCATTATGAGTGAGGAAATGTGTCCTAATTGTATCGGATAGGAGCTTTTCCTTCTTCAGGCATGTCTTCTGAAATCGTCATTTTTCTCAAGTCTTTAGAAGAGCTAAAGACACACCAATGATAAGAATCTGGAGATAAGGCTGTGATTTTGAGAGGGAGAATATCAACTAAGGTAGGCAGTCAAAGCCTTCAGAGGGAGTCAGCCCCTATAACCTGGAAAGCAAGTTGATGGGCTGAAGAGGCTTGGGGTTGCCCTCTGCATGACAGCAACTTCCTGGGACAGCAAAACTTCCTCAGAATTAGAAGGAAAAGCTGGGTGCAGCCATTACATTTCTAATATTAGATTCCTTGCAGCAAGTGATTTCTCTATTCCTAAGTCAGCCACCAGGTTTGAGGGTTCCTAAAATTTCATACAAGAATAAATTATTTCATTTTCTTTTGGGTAAGGACATCATTAGGTGGATGACTGCAGGCGACTGAGCTGGCTTAGGGGAGAACCAAGGATTCTGCAGTAAAAGGCCCCGATAGGAGTCAGGACCTGTCTTCTGCCTGTGATGCCTGGGCTGGGTGCTTTTGCTCAGTTCCATGTTTGTCAAGCACCACCAGTGTTATTAGCTTGTGCTGAGGACACAAGTGCATGACAGGAGCCACAGGTATTAATACGCCTCCTGCCACAGAGCTGTTTGTGAAATTTCTTCACATTCTTATTTTTCTCTTTAAAGATTTATTATTTATTTATTATTATTATTTTTTAAATTTATTTTTGGCTGCGTCGGGTCTTCGTTGCAGCACGCGGAATCTTCGTTGAGGCACGCAGGATCTTTTGTTGCTGCATGACGGCTTCTCTCTAGGTGTGGCGTGCAGGTTCTCTCTTCTCTAGTTGTGGCGTGTGGGTTCCAGAGCACGTGGGCTCTAGTTGAAGTGCTCGAGCTCAGTAGTTGTGGCACGTGGGCTTAACTTCCCCACAGCATGTGGGATCTTAGTTCCCTGACTAGGGATTGAACCCGCGTCCCCTGCATCGCAAGGTGGATTCTTTGCCACTGGACCACCAGGGAAGTCCCACATTCTTATTTAAATTGCTAACTCTGTGTGTGTGTGTGATTTCACTTTGTTAACACACTGAAAATATTCCCAGACCCAGGACTAGTGGGAGGGGTCCTCTGGAAGACCATAACTTCATGATTACCCTGAACATCCTCTGGGCCATGTCCTCTGCTTAGGATGGAACAAACCTATGAGATAAATGTAGCCAGAGCTCTGTCCCTGGCTGCCATGGTCAGGCCTATGATTTGTACATGGCCAACACGGACTTCAGAATTTCTAGAACTACAGCAGGATGGAAAAACTTGAATAAGAATTTAGTCCCTACTGGGTCTTCACAGATTTAGCTCTTAGCTGTTGCTGATTTGGGGTGATAAGCAGATTCTACCAAAGGCCGGGTGAGCAGTGCTTCTCCCACTCCTGCCATCTTGAATTTTGCCCTGACCTGAACATCCCACCCTCCCATTTACTTATTATCTTAAAAATATTTCTATGCCTGGATTTCTCAATTTGGACAATATAGTTACTAATCTTTGTGACACCCCAGCATCACTGCACTGTAATATTGAACCCAAATGACCCAAGGCATAAATTGCTCCTATGAGGTGATTTATATGGCTGTAGTAATTTTTCAGGTCATTAGAATATTATTTTATTTTTTTAATTTATTTTTTATTGAAATATAGTTGAATTACAATGTGTTAATTACTGCTGTACAACAAAATGACTCAGTTATACATATATATCTATACATTCTTTTTCATATTCTTTTCCATTATGGTTTATCACAGGATATTGAATATAGTTCCCTGTAGAATACTGTTTTGAACTCAGCTGAAATTCCTAAGTTTGCCTTGAATGAATTTATTTTATAGCTGTTCTTTAAAAAACTTTGGGGTCTAGAATTGCTGAAGTAATTTATTACCTTTAGGAGGTTGCCATCTTCCCATTCTCTTTTGCATTCCTGTTTCACCTGTTCTTTTTGTTTGTTTATTTTTGCTTTCTTCTTTTCACCATTTTGTTGTCATATAAGGTGATGAGATAAGATATGGAAGGAAAGCCATTTTCAGAAATCTGATTTATTCTGTTTTCTTTGTCTCTTTTGGCCTGATTTTGCTGGCCATCCTGTAGCCTTAGACTACAGCTTCTCCTTTTGTGGATTCCAGTAAAGAATGTAAATAGAGGCTGTGTTTTCTTGCGGGAAAGTTTTTTTTTTTCCTCCAAAGTTTCTTCTTAGGCTGTACTCCCCTGGCTAAGTTAGAATTTTTTTTTTCTTTCAAGAAATCTGATTATGAAAAAGTATGCCGTTCAGAAGAGCTTTCCATTTGTACTGGAATCCTCTGGGGATATGGGGGCTTACTTCCCTAAAGTGGTTCCAAGGTCTTGGGCATATTCCACTCTGGATCAGTTCAAGGTAGGGTAACCAATTGTCCTGTCAAACCAGGATGAGTTGGCCACCTTAATTTGTGTAAGGGCAATTGAGTGAATAAATGAAAAGAGAAAAGATGATAAAAATGCAGAGGTACAATGTTCCTTCCTGCCTAGTCTTTGAGTGGTCCCCTGCCCTGACATGCTCTGCTGTCTTCCCCATTTGCTTAGCTAACATCACTTTTTCTCCAAATGTAAACTCAATCTTCATTTCCTCAGGGGAAATGTCCTGACTTGGTCACATCTCCCTATTATTTGTTCTTTTAGGTGTTTTTGTAGTTGTAATTTTCTATTTGAATAGTCATTACATAAATATCTATCTCCCCAGTTTGGTGGTAAGCTCCAAGAAAGCAGGATCTAGGTCTGGTTTTGCTCACACTGAAACTTTTGTCAGTAGAGCAAGGATTGTCAAATGTAGTGGTTAGGCCCCAGACCAGGAGCCATGTGGCTTGGGTTTGAGGTCCATTTCCAATACTTACTACTTTTGTGACCTTGGGCAAAATACTTAATGAGATACCACCTCTCCTCTCCCCTTCTAAAATGGTTAAAATTAAAAAGACTGACAACACCTAGTGCTGGTGAGGATGTGGAGCAACAAGAACGATTCATTTATTTCTGGTGGGATTGCAAAATACTGTAGCCCCTTTGGAAAACCACTTGGCAGTTCCTTATATAGGTAAATACACATGTACCATAAGACTCAGCAATTCCAAACCTAGAACTTTACCCAATAGAAATTAAAACAAATGTCTATGCAAAGATGCAAATGTTCACAGAAGATTTATTCATAATAGCCACAAACTAGCAACAACCCATACCTATCAACTAATAAATGGATAAACTAATTGTGATATATCCATGGAATGTACTTAGCAATACTACTTAGGAACACTATACAATAATACTCAGGAATACTACTTAGCAACAAAAAGAAACACATTTCTGATACATACAGCAGCGTAGATGAATCTCAAATGCATTACACTAAGTGAAAGAGGCCCAGCTTAAAAGCCTGCATACTGTATGATTCTATTTATATGACATTCTGGAAAAGGCAAAACTATAGTGACAGAGAAGAGATCAGTGGTTTCCTGGGGCCTGGGGATGGAAAAGGCAAAGGGAAATTTATGGAGGGGTTGAAGTATTTTATATCTTGATGGTGGTAGTGGTTCCCTAGGTGTACATTTAAAAAATCGTTCAGAAAATGAGCTACAGCCAGGCAATACTGTTGTTTCTCCACATGACCCAGGGTCTGGGTCTCGGCACTGCAGGCTGAATGGCAGTCTTTCTGCATCAGTTGCTTATGCAGGGCTGGGCTGGCCTGAGAGGACAAGATGTTTCTGAGTCCTCTGGGGTTGAGGTCACTTGGCAGGGAGAGCTCCAGCCCTGACTTTGAACCAAATTATTGGATCAGTCTGGGATGAGCCCAGCCCTTCAGGACCTCAGGGAGACCTGGCATACCTGCAAGACCCTTCCAGGTTCCTTTGGGGCAGGGATGACTAGAGGCACCTAGGAGGTCCATACTTGGGAACCCAAATCATCTGGTCAGAGAGGGTTAGAGAGGAAAGGGACTGGGAGACCACGTGATACAGCATTTACTGCCTGCTTTTAATTCTCTTTCTGTGCATCTCAAGCAACCTCATTTATTGAGGAGTTTCTCATTTTCCTTTTCTTATTTAGTAAGGATATAGATAACACCATCAATCTACTATTCCAGTCCTCTGGAGAGAATTAGTGTTACCACACCAAATAGGTAGAATTACAGTGAAAAGCAAAGAAATGACATCGTGTGGTACAATCTCCCTTTGTAATTTGTTTGAAAATAGCTTGGTGATGCCATTCTCCCACCCCCCACCATTATTCCATAAGCACCAGGGACCTCTTATTGGTAATAATGATCTAGTCCAACTTCCTTATTTTACAGATGAAACTGGGACCCAGAGAGGCCAACAGACCTGTCCCAAACCATGCATCTAGTTAACGGCAGAATCAAAAGAACTCAGCTCTCCTAACACACAAGCCAGCATCTTCCTGCTCTGCTGGAGGACAGGAGTCCCAACCCACGTTCCTGCCATGTTTTGGGACTCTGTTCCTGTCACTGGGGTAAAGCTCAGAGGACTCACATTCTGTGTCTTACAAAGGCTGATCCCATCAAGTAAGGCCCCTGGTTGTCACATAGGAAACACATCTTGAGTCTCAGAAGACAGCTGCTGGGGCATCCTCTTGTCGATGGGAAATGCTCCCAAACAGAGGTGACCAGAGTAATAAAACCACAAGTCCCATGACCCCCTCCAACACCTGTCAGAATTGTCAGCCTCATCTTCAGACCAGAGGTTTTTCCTTCCCTCACCAGAGGTAACTCCAGGAGAATTCTTACACAGCTAAGAGGGCTGTGATGCTGGCATCTGACCAGAGTCAGGCCAGGGGAAGCTGCCCAGGAGCTGAACAATCACAGGTTCTTCAACAGCTCTTGGAATGGTGGACCTTGGCATAAAGTCTTGGTTTGAGAGTTGCCAAGAGTTTCTTTGATAGAAACATTAACTCAACAGCATTCTTGTTTCAAAATTTTATTTGAACGTTGACGACTGTCCAGCTCCCGACTTTAAGTTTCATTTTCCCTTATCCCTCACTGCCCTGTCTCTGACATGACCTATACAGTTGCCAAGTGAGGCTTCCAAGGAACAGAAGGAGGGGTGGGGGCAGAGGACCTTCACTCTAATTATGAGGTTATGGCATTGTCAGATGGTATCGTAGTCAAGGGCTCTAGAAGCACTGTCCTACTACAGCCCAGAGCTACCACCTTGTGGAGACAAGCACACTGGGAGAAACAGTTGCTTTATTATTGGCTGTACTTGTGCCTGTAAGAGAAAAATGGGGCCCACTCCCTCATCCACAGTCAGCTGCCAGAAGATGGATTGGGTACCTTATACCTAGGTGAGGAAAGGAGAGAGATTGCTGACTGCTTTCTAATCTGGCCCCATGGATGGGAGAGACCCAAGATGAGACCACATCCTCTACGTGGCTTGTTACTGCACAGGGAGACATAGTGCTGTGGAGAGTTTAGCAGCCTATGCTCTGGACTCAGATTACCTAGGTTGAATCCCAGCTCTGCTACTTACTAGCTGTGTAGCCTTGGGTTAGTTACTTAACCTCTCTGTACCTCACTTATAAAATGGGACTAGCAGTAGTTAGTCCTATTTTACAGAAGTAATCTTCTAGTCCTAATCTTACCTTTAGGATTATTATGAGTTATAGGTTAAAATATATTGTTTTAAAACAACTTGAAGGAAAGATATATGGACTTCCTCTTAGTAACCCTTAGTGATGATGCATGGTCTGTTCTTAGGCACAAGACCACTTAATCAAAGGAAGGAATAGATTCAGTTTGGAACATTTATATTTATTTATTGACAAAGGGGATGGCTCATTTTTGGGGAGGGGTGTTCTTCAAAGGTAGAAGTGTCAGCAGTTCCACTAGGCCATATTTCAACATAAATAAAATCAGCAGACTACACTTGATAAAGTGAATGGCTTTAACCATTATGAATTAGCCTTAACCTACTGTACTAGAATCCTAGTGCTGAGAAAAATCTTTGCGAGCGCTCTAGACACAGAAAGCTCATAATGTGTGAATCTTAGTGGTGTATGTGGGAGCCGGCTCAGAAGAGCCAATTGTGTGCACTTCTTCTCAACTCTCCACGTTCAGTAATTTAATGTTGATAGCTTGAAACTGGCCATATAGGAGTATTTACACCATGGAAATTGGCTAAATATCAAGTTGTTGTTTGTTTTTGAAAGAGCATCAGTTAAAAAACAAGCTCACCACTGAGTGAGCTCTTAGTCCACAAAACTCAAGTGAGTGGCAAATAGCACATTTCTTTATTTTCTTTTGTCAGCTTAAATGGGGCATTGAGTCCCCATCCTGCGCAGTTTTGGTGGAGTTCTTCTCTCCCAACTTTGTGCAAAGATCTCTCTGCACTGGTTATTTTTTATATCAGGTCTACCTGCTAAGAAGCTCAGTCCCATTTTACACAGTCCTCAGAAATTCCACTCTTTGGGGTTGTACTTAAGGGATGGGAAGCCCTTTGAGGCAGGAGGGGACCACACCACCTCCTTCTTTAGGAGTGTCATGGAAACTCTGGCTGGGTTCTTGCTACTTCGGGACATACCAGTCCCTATCCTCTCCCAGTCAGGAAGTTAAGCATCCTCTCTCTTTCTCATCTCCTTTTGGGGATACATAGAATTATCATTTTGATGAATTTAGGCTTTTACAAAAGATAGGAATATATGTTAGATTCAAGTGGCTTCTGCTTCTGAGTCCTGAAAATACCTCTAAACTAAGGAATGGTGGTGGTGGGAAAATAAATTCAAAATAATATCTCAATAAATTATTCTGGTATTTAAAGATGAGGAAGCTGAGACTCAGAGAGGCAAACTCACTTATCTAAGCTCACACAGCTAGTTTAGAACAAAGAGGAGATTTGAATACTGGGCTTCTGCCCCAGTCCAGCCTCTTCCCAAGATAACACTTCTCTTTCATGGAGACCCAGGTGGTCTCTACTAGACTAGTTCTGCTTCTGTCCACTACTGATGGTCATAACGGTGGTCAACATTTGCTGGGTGTTTGCTATGTGCCTGACACTCTGCTAAGCCTTGTGCATACTTTATCTTCCTTTGAGCCTGCTCAGATGTGCAGTGCTTCATCTATCCTCTTATTCTCAGCTCCACAGGAAGAGCAGACCCAGGATGGCTTGTCCAAACAGACCTTGAGCCAGTAGCTTAAGCGGGAAAAGAGAACAGAAATCCTTCTTGTCTAATTTGGCTTCCCAGTGGCACAGCTTTGGCACGCTGTTCACTCGCTTCTTCACTTATTTACTCATTCATTCTCTCTACCAACACTTCCTGAGTACCAACTCCATGCCAGGTATTTTCCCACAAATGAAAGTTGCCTTCAGCTAAATTGTTTCTGGAGCACGTATCGAGTTTTCTTCCCTATTCTTTAAGAAATGTATTTGTTGCACAAAGTGGAGTAACAGCAAAAAACAAGTTTTAAAAAATAGATTCACATTCTCATCACCCTAATGGATTGACTTTTTATTTTCCTGTGCTTCTATTCTGTATCCAGAAGCAAATATATTTTTCATGTAACTGTGCAGATATAACTGCTTTTTGCTTTTTTAAATTTCACATTATGTAGTAAACATCTTTCCATATCCCTGCAGTGTTCATACTCATCATTTTTTTTTTTTTTTTTTTTTTTGCGGTACGCGGGCCTCTCACTGTTGTGGTCTCTCCCATTGTGGAGCACAGGCTCCGGACACGCAGGCTCAGCGGCCATGGCTCACGGGCCCAGCTGCTCCACGGCATGTGGGATCTTCCCGGACCGGGGCACGAACCCGCGTCCCCTGCATTGGCAGGCGGACTCCCAACCACTGCGCCACCAGGGAAGCCCATACTCATCATTTTTAAAGGCTAAGTAATATTCCAGTGAGGGAATGCTTTGGAATTTATGTATCCAT